CACTGTTTATTTTACCCAGTGTGGTCTTCTGCTGCTGTAGCCCATCTGCTTCAAAGTTCAACGTGTTGTGAATTCAGAGATGGTATTCTGCATACCTTGGTTGTAACAAGTGGTTACTTTAGTTATTGTTGCCTTTCTATCATCTTGAACCAGTCTGCCCATTCTACTCTGACCTCTTACATCAACAAGGCATTTTCATCCACACAACGGCTGCTCACTGGATATTTTCTCTTTTTCACACCATTTTCTGTAAACCCTAGAGATGGTTGTGCGTGAAAATCCCTGCAGATCAGTTTTTGAAATACTCCGACCAGCCCACCAGGCACCAACAACCATGCCATGTTCAAAGTCACTTAAATCCCCTTGCTTCCCCCTTTTGATGCTCGGTTTGAACTTCAGCAAGTCGTCTTCACCACGTCTAGATGCCTAAATGTGCTGAGTTGCTGCCATGTGATTGACTGATTATCAGTTTGTGTTCCCAAGCAATTGAACAGGTGTACCTAATAAAGAAGGTGGTGAGTGTAGTTTGAATACCATGTCATAAATATATTATTTATCATTGTAAAAGAACATATGCCAAACTTTTTTGTTTTTTTCAATTTTTCCATAAAAAAAATTAAATGGCTTTGAAAAAATATTTTCCCAATTTTTCTGTTTTTTTTCCAGGCACTCCCATCTCTACCAGTTCTCTGTCAGATACCTAAGGTTTAAATCAGAATCAAGCCATAAACCAGGCAGCTTATTTACTTTTTCTAAGTATAAAATGTTTGTATTATAAAGGAAGCATGTATTCAATGCTTGCTTTAGATCTAAAGATAAAGGAGCATTTACTGACAGACCTACACTTGCACTGTAGGCACAAACACACACTGTTGGTACTACACATACAGTCAGGGCTGGAGCACACACAATGTGTCAGTCACTTATTTAACTGGCCTGGTGTGTCCACTACCCAGATTTCATTCAGTTTAAATTTTCTGTTGATTTGAAAAAAGAAAATCAAAAGGTATACATGTACATTTTTGTTTTATGGGGTTTAGATATACATGTAAAGACATATCCATCCATAATAGAAATATATCCCATTCACATCAAGGAAACATATATTTTTGTAATTTAATCCAGTTTTAGATGTTGTTACTTCTAATGTAAACATCAAGAGCGGTAATAAAGCAAAATTGAAATGTAGACTTCTAAAAGTTGCCAGAATGGTATTCTTAAACAGACTTGTAGACTGTGTATTGTGATCTGTTATCACAGAAACATTCTTGTAGGAAACAGTAATGGATACCATTGTAATCTAAACTACTTATCATTCGTTAAGGAAGGAAAAATAAGAAAAAGGAATGTAAGTGAAAATTATGGAAAATGGGTAAAAGAGCAAAGTAAAGTACTGGATGTTGGAAAGTAAGGGATAAGAGAGAGGGTCTAATACAACTCCCTGCCGGACAAACCTAACTGCATCAGGTATTCTACATGGGCAGGCAGAACCAAATTATAAACCCGCAGGTGAGCTCAAGAGTGGTCTAAAATATGTTTAGGATGCTAGATTTGGCTTATGTATCAATGGAATTATTTAGTCTAGCAGTTATGTATTCCATGTTTTAAACATCATGTACTAGTTTAGAGAGATCATCTTGGGATGGTGGGGCGATCTTTTCCATTTTAAATCAGAAATCTAGCTGCAGATAAAATGCCGGTTATCAATTTTGTAGTTAATTTGGTGGCGTTTGGTAAAGGTAAGCCCAAACGACGGTAAGTTAGATCCAGAGCAGACGGTGGGGGGGGGGGGGGGGGGGGGGGAGTTCTAGAAGGGTTTTAGTAGCTATCCAAAAAGGGCAAATATTGGGACAATCCCAGTATGTGTATAGCATTCCTAGAGGCTAACCTCACCTACAATCTGTAGAAGATGGTGCTGGGTTTAATTTTGTGAAGTTCAGGTGTATGATAACAATGAAAAATAATTTTATATAGATTTTTCCTTTGAAGGGTAAATATAGATGTTTTGTTAGCATTATCCCAAATGTCTTCCCACTCCTCCATCTAGGGTGCGACCTATGGCTTTTTCCCATTTAGTCTTATATTTATGCTTGGGAAAAAGCTCAGTGTTAATTGTAATAAGCCTATAAATGTCTGTTATGAGGTGTTGCCATGAAGGTCCTTCTAGACAAGTATTCCCAAATTAGGCTAGTTTAGCAAATGAAGATTTAGCAGTAAGTCTTTCAGCATAATGTTTAATTTGTAAATATGTGAATAAGGTTCTGGGTGGTATGTTATATGTAGGTTGTAAATTGGCAAAAGAAACTTGATCTGTAAATGAATTGTTGATGTTGCTAAAACAGAACAAATTGTGTTCTAACCAAGGGCTAGTCATTGTATGTTCAGTAGTAGAAGGAAGGAAAGCTGTATACAGGAATGAAGTAATTTGAGATGTCGAGGGAGAAAAGGAAAATCTAGGTTTACAATATGACCCAACATTCCTTGTGTGGAGCATGCATGTTGGCAAATGGTTATTTGTTGGTAGACCAAATTAAAATGGTTCAAAACTCACACAGCCCAGCTCGACAGCACGCCCGCACAGGTGCCTCTATAACACACAGCTTGTTTAGAGGACACCCAGTGGAAGAAAATGCTGACAGCACTGGCAGGGGACTCTAGAAAGGTGGAAAGGGACTGCTGTGTGCCATATCGTTGAACAGAGCAGATACAGTGGGGATCGAAAGTTTGGGCACCCCAGCTACAAATTTGTATTAATGTGCATAAAGAAGCCAAGGAAAGATGGAAAAATCTCCAAATGGCATCAAATTACAGATTAGACATTCTTATAATATGTCAACAAAAGTTAGATTTTATTTCCATCGTTTACACTTTCAAAATAACAGAAAACAAAAAAATGGTGTCTGCAAAAGTTTGGGCACCCTGCAGAATTTATAGCTTGCACTGCCCCCTTTGCAAAGCTGAGACCTGCCAGTGTCATGGATTGTTCTCAATCATCATCTGGGAAGACCAGGTGATGTCAATCTCAAAGGTTTTAAATGCCCAGACGCATCTGACCTTGCCCCAACAATCAGCACCATGGGTTCTTCTAAGCAGTTGTCTAGAAAACTGAAACTGAAAATAGTTGACGCTCACAAAGCTGGAGAAGGCTATAAGAAGATAGCAAAGCGTTTTCAGATGTCAATATCCTCTGTTCGGAATGTAATTAAGAAATGGCAGTCATCAGGAACAGTGGAAGTTAAAGCAAGATCTGGAAGACCAAGAAAAATATCAGACAGAACAGCTCGCAGGATTGTGAGAAAAACAATTCAAAACCCACGTTTGACTGCACAATCCCTCCAGAAAGATCTGGCAGACACTGAAGTTGTGGTACACTATTCCACTATAAAGAGATACTTGTACAAATATGGTCTTCATGGAAGAGTCATCAGAAGAAAACCTCTTCTACGTCCTCACCACAAAAATCATTGTTTGAACTTTGCAAATGAACATATAGACAAGCCTGATGCATTTTGGAAACAAGCTCTGTGGACCGATGAGGTTAAAATTGAACTTTTTGGCCGGAATGAGCAAAGGTACGTTTGGAGAAGAAGGGGCACAGAATTTAATGAAAAGAACCTCTGTCCAACTGTTAAGCATGGGGTTGGATCAATCATGCTTTGGGGTTGTGTTGCAGCCAGTGGCACAGGGAACATCTCACGAGTAGAAGGAAAAATGGATTCAATAAAATTTCAGCAAATTTTGGATGGTAACTTGATGCCATCTGTGAAAAAGCTGAAGTTAAAGAGAGGATGGCTTCTACAAATGGATAATGATCCTAAACACTCCTCGAAATCCATGGGGGATTACATCAAGAGGCGTAAACTGAAGGTTTTGCCATGGCCTTCACAATCTCCTGACCTCAACATAATTGAAAATCTATGGATAGACCTTAAAAGAGCAGTGCGTGACAGACAGCCCCAGAAATCTCAAAGAACTGGAAGACTTTTGTAAGGAAGAATGGGCAAAGATACCTCAAACAAGAATTGAAAGACTCTTGGCTGGCTACAAAAAGCGTTTACAAGCTGTGATACTTGCCAAAGGGGGCAGTACAAGATATTAACTCTGCAGGGTGCCCAAACTTTTGCAGACGCCATTTTTTTGTTTTCTGTTATTTTGAAAGTGTAAATGATGGAAATAAAATCTAACTTTTGTTGACATATTATAAGAATGTCTAATCTGTAATTTGATGCCATTTGGAGATTTTTCCATCTTTCCTTGGCTTCTTTATGCACATTAATACAAATTTTTAGCTGGGGTGCCCAAACTTTCGATCCCCACTGTAAGTATACCCTCTTTTTTTTTTTTTTTATATTGCTTTTAGAATCACTTTGAGGAGTTGGTATGTGTAGGAGTGAAGCGCTCAATCTCAGCCCATCTAATAGGTAAGTATAGAGCAGACCAAATGGAGAGATGGTGCAGTTGGAATGCCAGGTAATATTTCATGAAGTCTGGGAAGTGATACTAAAGCTAAGGTTTTTTTTTTTTACCTTAAAGCATTCCTGTGTGAAGGGGAAGAAAGGGGAGAAGAGATCCAGTGCTGTGCACAGCTGCATCTCCCCTTTTTTCCTCTTCACACAGCAATCAAGATATGAAATGCAGTGAGGAGGAAGTGGGATGCAGGGCTAAGTCCCACTGTGTAAGTTTATGGAGCGCGGCTAAATACACACAGGGGACCCGAAAAGAGGATTGGGGCTGACCTGTACAATACCACTGCACAGAGCAGGTGAGTATACCATGTAAAATTTAAGTAAAAACGGTTATAGTAAGGCTGTTGTAACATTTCATCCAGTTTAAAGACAGTTGTTTCAAGACAGTCATTTTATGTCTGTGGCCAGCTTACAAAAACACCAAAAACTGTCTTAAGTGAGCAATTTTTTTTTTTGTTATGGGTGTGTTATTTTATATAATCTATAAGATGTAACTTTTAAGACGAATGATTTGTGATTGTTTTGTCCTTCTAGAAAATGATGCGTCCTGTCACCAATAATAATGTGACTTTCTGTGGAAGTGGCAAATCTTCTTGTCTCAGCCAAGACAGCATGAGAAGTGTAGAACAGTTTGGCTTGTACACCACTCAGCAGAGCAAATACAGCCATACTGTCAGCCAAAAGTCCATCTCCTGCCAGACACAAGAAACTATAAATGAGGCACATTTGCAGACCACAACCAGCAGAGATCTGGACACAAAAAGTGATTTAAAGAAAAAGAAAACCCTTGGGAGGTCTGGAAAGCGTGGAAGACCCTCTGGAACCACCAAACTGGCAGGATACCGAACCAGCACTGGGAGACCTCTGGGGACCACCAAAGCTGCTGGCTTTAAGACAAGTCCTGGCAGACCACTGGGCACAACCAAAGCCGCCGGATACAAAGTCAGCCCAGGGAGACCTCCAGGTAGCATAAAAGCTCTATCACGGCTTGCAAATCTAGGTTACACAAGTAACAATGCAGCTTTCCCCTACCCCACAGCACTTAACAGAGGACTCCATTCTGTTGTGGATACCAACATCAAACACCCTGTTGAGTAAAAGTCATTTAGTATGGATGTTGAGAAAATATCAGATGCTTGTATCATCACACTGTTGTCTTTAAAATTACTTTAGACTAGAAATTCTGTTCAAATGCATCACACTTCAAAATGGCAGGTTGTGTCTCTGCACCATTAGCTTACTTATTGCCCTTTTCTATTGTCTGTGCTGGCTTGTATAACTTATTTTGCTGAGAGATGAGGGGGTAGTTTGCTTTTTTAAACTTTGCATGCGATGTTAGTTTAGAATATACAAATTCTCTGCATAAGAGAAATGTGTGTATGTGGTTTTAAGGTTATGTTATGAAATGTTAAAACAGCCATAAAAATTAAAAAGATTGAGAGGTGAAAGAATAATACCAAATATACAAACGCATTGTCACTGTATGATCGCATACAATGTAGCCAAAAATGTAAGATAGAACAACCATATAGACATGTACATGTATTTAAACTTTATTCTTTCATCATTTCTGAAGTCTTTCTGAAATATTTACAGCATTTTCAAAAGGTGTAATGGATAGTGTAAATATGTCAAAATGCAGTTATGTATTGTATATAAACCAGTATAAAATTTCAGTTTTACACATGTGTGTTTAATCCCCAAAAAATTAATATTTATACATGTAAACAAGATTCTTTTCATTTTTTTCAGGCACATAGGTTAATGCAATTTGGTTTCATCCACTTTTTATTAAAAAAAAAAACAATTTAAAAGTGTACTTTGGTGTGAGGTAATCCATGTCAACCACACCTATCTTAAATTTTGACTAATTTACAAAAAGTATAATCTGATATTTTAGACTAAAGCTTTGTACACATAGATTGAAATTTGCTAGTTTCCTGCTCAACTGGCCAAATTTTGATCTGTGTGTCCCCTCTCTGTTCAGAAGCCATTGGTTGAACAAAAACAAACTCACAGTTTGTACCCAGCTTAAGTATGTTTTTTTTGTAATATGATACTAAGTCAGTAAGGGAGTCATTTTCACCCTAGACTTTGTTCATGTGAAATACCTAATCGATTTCAGTGTTATATAGAAATTACTTCTCAGTGATGAGTCCCAGTGCTCACCGTTTCTCATTTTTTAAGCATCTTTGCATTCTAAAGTCCCAAATTAAATGCAGGTTAACAATTTGGAGTTATCAGTTTATTTAGTAAACCTGTCACAAACCTGGCAATTCAAACTGAGAATGTGAAGAAAATATGGCTAAAAAGTGGTTAACTTCAGTGAAAACCGTATGCAAAAATGATCAGTGAATACAAAGATATTGACAGCTAAAATTAAATGCAAATCTTGACTTTTAAACTGAAAGTCTTGTTTGGCTGCACACTTTTTCTTTCTTGCATGTCATTTGAGACCAGTCATCATGTAAAAGGTTCAGTATGGAGGCTTAAAGGATTGGTTCATCCTTTTGTTACATGTTACGCCCATATATAGAATGTAGCTTGGTGCTGTGCAGTCCCTGCACCCCCCAGATTCCCCTCTATGACAGTGAGTGGGGGATCCTCTCCTGGCACCTGCTGTCACAATTTTAAAAACCTTGTGGCTGTGCAGGGCATCTCCTGTGTCATTCATTCACACAGATCTATGAATGAATTAATTACAAGTCCTGTCTGCCATAGAGTCAGGTGGCTTGTAGTTCTCAATGAACTGTGAGGGTGCTGATGACGCTCTCATAGTTCATTGATTCTTCCTGCAATTCAGTAAAAATCTGCCCATACAGGCACCTGCAATCCACTGAATTAATTTAACACCATTTTTTGTTCTCTGCTTTCATTTCAGTTTACATTGAGACTGCAAACATTTTAACAAAAACAGGAAAGATGGGGGTGTTCTACAACATTTGAGTGCTAAGGTGGAATGTTAAAATGTTTTTGTATGTATGTATGTATTATATTTAAAATATCAGTTTTAACACTTATAAACTTTAAAAATGACTAACACAAACTGTTATAGTTTCCCTTTAAGACACCCCAACTGTTTTTTTAACTCTGTTATTGATTTTACCAATTTTGGGGTGGGGGTGTAGGGCATGTTTTATGTAAATCTGTATAGAATATAAAATTCCCATTCCACCCACAAACCCTGTACTAGGCATACTAGGGCACCCTTTGAAGCCTTGCTGCCACCCCTGCAAATTCTTTGAAAACACTGGGGCCTGGTGATTGGATACTCAGACCCTTAACTCTGCACTGTGAGATTGGGGGAAGGCAGCTGGAATGTCACATGCACCTATACAAAAGTGGAGCTCTGAGGGATTGGCATTGGAATGTGTCAAACTTTGGGTGGATAGGTTGGTGACTTTTTTTGTTTAACCCTTTTTTCTGTAATGAAACCCTTTTTATATACTGATAACATTTTCCTTCCGTCCATATACAGTTAAGTTCCCTTTGTTCTTTGTACAGTCCATAGGCAAAAAGTTCATTTGTACTTTTTATATTTTCACAGTATGCTGAGGGTGAATTGACCAGGCTTTTGACAGATTTGCTTTGTGTAAATTTAGTAGTGACATACTTAGTTTGTGGTTGTTAAAAATGAACATCTATACTCACCTCCATGCTGTAGCATGGGTCTGATGCTGCAGCTACCCCCTGCTGGCTCATGACCTTTGATTGCTCAGATCTTGGTTAGTTCTGAGCAGAGACTGTTAGTCACCGCTTTCTGCTCTGCCCCTTCAATACTCCCTGGAGTGTCGGATTAGGGAGGGGACGAGAGCTGCCGGCTTCAGCTCTCAGCTGCACACCGAGAGTTTGTGCCAGCTGCCGATCAGGCATCTGTGCAGATCCTGACAATGTGGTTTGGAGCTACTCTGTGATGTCAGCCAACAGCAGGCTTTAGCTGATTCTGGTTCACAGGAGAGCACAAATGCACTTCTGTGACCCACAAAAGAAGTATGGCTAAAAAAACGTTTTCTATAATTCTCTTAAGGAGCCCTTAAAAACATATTAGGTTTAGCCTCTACCTCCACAGCTGCTTACTTGCTACTTCTGATGGTGGCAGCAACCCTTATTGGCTATAGCTTGGGCTGTAAAAACATATTGCTGGCTTGCTCATGCTGTAACATCCCACAGACTTGGCTAGGTTCATACAATGTAAAGGCCAATGTACTGTTATGAACCACAGTGCTCATACCTTATGGTTTGGTTCCCTGAGGTGATTTAGAAATAGTGGATTATCTTTTGAGGTGCAGTGGCAGCCTATTGCATGTTAAAGCTCAACGTAATAGACTATAAAGATGTAAAGGAGAACGTGAGTCAATTTGTCACTAAGACAGAATTGTTAGTGTGACATTGACCTAGCAGACATTGTAGCTGAAAAAAGGCTGCAGTAACCTAAATAGTGTCTTGCACAAGAAAATTAATTTACAGAAAAACATATATAACACCTTTTGAAGGCATTTTGCTTTGCTATATATGCCAGAAATAGATTTGGACCATAGATTCTCCCAGAAGAAACTACAGTAGTGAATTAGGTGTGTCATGTATATTAATATTGTATATTATGCCTTGACAGCTGACAAAATTCGAATTTGCTGAATAGTTTCACTAGGGTCTTGTATGCAGTGGGGTACACCACAGCTGCAGTTGCCTTTGGGTATGAACCAAAATTTACATTTGAGCAAAACTGGCTCAGTCAATGCTCCCTTGAATAAGAGCTCCCAGGCACTGCTGGATTTCCATTTCCGGAGGCTGAAGGTGTACAAAGTTTGGTGTTCCAATGCAACACCACTCTGCTAGAATATTCTTTAAGGCTTGTTTCACATTGATCCGTTTTCTTTTCTTCCGCTTTCGCGTAAAAAAAGTAAAAAAGCGTGTGACCATGTATTCCTGTGGAACTCTTCACACTGATCTGTTGTGGGTCAGGTACAGTTTTTTTAAATCCTGCTTTCTGCCTTTTTGGTGCAGGTTTGGTGCAGTAAAAAAAACACATGATTGAAATCAATGGAAAACATGGAAATACGCACCAGCGATGCATTTTCGAGTCACCTGTCCTGTAAAAAATGCTAAAAAAATCAAGGTAAAAATGCACATGCATTTTTGGTATGATCCATGTGAAATTAGCCTAAAACAGAACATTCCCTTATTTAGCTGGTTTGTAATCAGCTTAGAATATTGCACCATTGCTTACATAAGACTGTATGAGATTTTGAAACCAGTCAAAACTGCTCCAGAGCCTTGGAATCCACATTTGTCTACTCTGCTACCAAGTCAATCCCAAGCAAAAAAAGCAAAAAATATCAAAAACCAGAAATAAGAGGATTTATACCAGGGTGCCCAGGTACCCCGGGATGCCTTGAGGTTTCTTCAGGGGTACCTTGGCAAAATGTCTACAAATTGCCCAAAATATGTATACAAGCCAGCGGGTGGAACAAACTTGCCATTTAGTTACAGTCGCAGGTTTTCGTTGTGCACCATTTAGGACCTTCTAGCCGCCGCTGTCCTGACAATCAGTGGCATCATGAATTGATAAGGAGGATGTCAGCTGCCTACACAGCATCCTAGTTTTACCCTCCCCTGCCCCTCTCCATCAGTGCTGGGGTCTCATTAGCTCAGTGATGGAGAAAAACTGAGGGAGAAGAGAAACACTGGAATACTACTCAGTACCAGTGTGCAAAAGTGTATTTGCTTTGGAAGAATATATCACCTTTAATGTTGGGTGTCCTGCATGTGTGGATGTTGCTGCATTATAAAATAACTATTAGAATAGTTTATCACATTATACAATGGGGTGTTCTTTTAAAATTATGGACAGTCTTGAGGCACCCCATTCTAAAATTAAAGGGTGCCTTGATTAAAAAAAGGTTGATAAACACTGATTTATATTATCAGCATATTGCACAATAATCAAAAAAGGTTTAATCTATAATAAGCCAATAAAAAAAAACTAAAATTGCCATCACCTCACATTTAAAAATAAGAAGCATACACACAATGTTGAATCAGTTCCCTCAATTTAAGGATATAAATAGTATCAAAGACTAGAATGCAAATGAAGTAGC